AAGAAGAGGAGGGGGAGGAGGGGGAGGAGGGCTCTATGAGGGACCCAAGGGCACTCCCCTTGGTTCATGGCTGCTCGGCGGCGGATATTTTTTATAAGCGCAAGCATTCACGACAGCATGTGTGCACTATCCGAGAACAGTGTTCGACGATCCCAGGGCCCCGACGCCATGTTTTTGTCATGGCGTCGACCCCCAGAAATCTCGGCCCGTTCCCCGGGACCTCCCAGAGTCAGGCGATCGCAAACATGGATTAAGGGGGCGTGGATTAGCGACGGGTCCCGTTTCCGTTGGAAATCGCGGATTTCCGCCGCCGAGCGAGGCGGCGCTTGCCGCCTTTTGGGGAGGGCATCTCTCCCGATCCATGGATTAGGAGACCGCGCGCCAAATCCATGGATCGCTAGTCCATGTTTGGCGCCCCCGACATTCCCCGGGACTTCCCAGAGGTCTCATCCCGAGTCGATGTTTGACGGTCCTGGGGCCCGCCGAGGGCCCCCAGAAGCCGAACACAGCGAAAAAATGTCCATCTTGATTTTCGCACCAGGAGGAGGAGGAGGAGGAGGAGGAGGAGGAGGAGGAGGTCCCGCTCCTTGGTCAGTGTTCCCTCCTCCCCCACCTCTCTCCTTGCTCCTCGCTCCCTCCATTAATCCCCTCCCTCCGTCCGTCCCCCGCTTTGCTTCTCCATTAAACTGTTTCAATTACCGATCCACGCCCCTTCCTTGTGGAAAGCTCTTCCCTGTCGCGCCACCAGACTTGTCCCTAGGGCTGGGCCAGGCGTTCTGCTTGAGACTTTTGTGTAAGTTCCAATCCCGAAGCTCCAGCAGCTGCACGTATGGAGGGCGGTGCCTTTTCACCATGTTGCTCGCGCCCAGGTGCCGTGCGCATCCTTGCGGATGGATGCCTGTGCGCGTTCGAAGTGTGACCTTCGACCCGGCACCGCCCACATTCGCCCTGAAATCTCCCAACAGCTTCACAGCGGAGGGCGGCTCCTGCTCAGGAGGGGGATCTTGCGGGGTAGTTCGTAGACCATGCTGCCACAGTGCTGAGAAAGTGCGACAGCTACGCGCAGCGGAGGGCGGCTCGCTCTGACGACGGGGCGCTTGCCAGAGATTTCGTCAGATTCCAACGCGAGAGAGTCGCGCGCTGTGCTGCGGCTGCACGGGCGGAGGGCGGCTGCTCTTCGAAGGCGGGGTTGCCGTTTTTGGGCACGGCCCGTGGGGCGCCCGCCTCTCCAGCCGGGGGCCCTCCTCCCTCCTCGCGCAGTGAGGCAGAACGTTTGCGGGGACTCGGCAGAGAGGGACCTGGGACGGGAGGGCACACTGGCAGCATCGTTCTCCTCCCTTCTCTCCTCCCTCCCTCCCCTCTCCTCGTCCTCCCCGTCTTTTTCCCGGTCCTCGTGTTCAGCCTCCCGCTCCGTCCTCCTCATTATTTTCCTGCTCCCTTGGCCTCGTCCTCCCCTCCTCCTTCTCTTTAGTGCTTGATCCTCAGTCCTGATGGGCATGTTTTCCACCACCACCACCACCACCATGAGTTAGAGGGGGGAAGGAGGTGGAGAACGAGTAGGAGGAGGAGGAGGAGGAGGAGGAGGAGGAGGAGGAGGAGGAGGAGGACCCCCTCCCCCTATAACTTATGGTGGTGGTGGTGGAAAACAAGCCCATCAAGTCCCCCTCCTCCTCGCCCTTTCCTCCTCCTCCCCCCCTGGTGCGGCGGAGGCCTCGCCTTTTTCTCCCCAGCCGCCCTGGCCGACAGGCATGGTGGTGGGCCTCACCACAGACCCCACCGCCTTCCGCATCCTGTTCGACGACGGTGAGGACGGGGGAGGAGATGAGGGGAGGGGGAGTAGGAGGCGGACGAGGAGGGCTGAGGAGGCGGAGGAGGACGAGGAAGGCTGAGGAGGAGGAGGAGGAGAACGACGAGGAAGGCTGAGGAGGAGGAGGAGGAGGTGTCGCAATGAACCCTCCCTCCAAGCTTCCTCGTCACAGGTCCCCACAAGTATACATGTTCATTACGGGGAGTGCCCCATTGGAAGACAGTCGTGTGAGAATTCGCAATCGTGCCAAAACGCAGTTCGTGGGACTTCAACGCCACGAATCAACGTGACTGTTGCGTCCCGACAATTCCAGACCGTGCCGGAACATATTCCTGTCACTTCGACACCGCGAATCAACATTATTGTTGCGTCTGGACAGTCCTACATCGTGCCAGAATGCCCTTCCTGGGAGCTCAAGCATGCGAACCATTGAAGCGATTTGAAATGTTTAAGACGAGTGTGAGCGACGCTTGGGCGAGAGCAACATTTTGAACAAAACCCGCCTTCCATCCGGGAAATTGCTGCAGCCTTAAAACGAATGCGCGGCGCTAGGGCGAGGGCCACAGACGCCTCGCCTTCCATCCTGGAAACCGTCGAGAATTTTGAGACGAACGCGCGCGGCGCTAGGGCGAGAAAAACCTGTTTGAAAACGACCCGCCCTCCATCCGGGAAAGTGTTGCAAACTTTTGCGACGAAGAAACACAGCGCTAAAGCGAGAGCAACATGCAAAACACGACCCGGGAACTTGAGACTTTAAGACGAATGCGCGCGGCGCTAAGGCGAGAACCGCCCTCCGTTCGTGACACTGTGGCCCCTTTGAAGCTTCATGATCCTATACAGTAGGGACGTCTCAAGCGAAACGCCTGGCCCGCCCTACTGAGGCGTTTGGGGGTGCGACAGGGAGGAGTCACTTATGAGGAACATACATGGAGGGGGATCAGGGTGGGAGGGTGTGGAGGAGGCGGACAGGGGGGCGGACACATTGCAAACCCAAGACGCAACAACGATGGTTTTTCGCATGTTCCTAGAAGAACTGATTTTAATTGCGGGGACGTGCCCCATTGGAAGCAGCCTGTCTGAGAACCACATATCGTGCCAAAGCGTAGTTCATCGCCACGAATCCACGTGACCGTTGAGTCCTGATAATCCCAAATCGTGCCAGAAAGCCGTTCCTCGAATTTCGACACCGCGAATCAGCGCGATTGCTGCGTCCAGACAATCCTGAATCGTGCCAGTTGACCCTTCCTGGGACTTCATACGAGTCTTTGAAGCTGATTTAAGCTTCTACAACGGATGTTCTCGGCGCTACAGCGAGAGCAACATTTTGAAAAGGAACCGCCCTGCAAGCTTGAATGTGTTGCAGACTTTGAAGACGAATGCGCGCGGCGCTTAGGCGAGAGCCACAGTTTGAAAAGGAGCCGCACCCCATACAATACTTGACTCTGCTGCAAACTTTTAAGACGAATGTGCGCGGCTCTAAGGCGAGAACATCACTTTGAAAACCACCCGCCCTACATCCTGGAAGTTGGTCGCCCGTTTAAAACGAATGAGTGCGGGTCCACAGCGAGAACCATGTGTTGAAAAGGAAAGCTATTGCAAGTTTTTAAGGCGAATGTGCGAGTCACAACGGCGAGAGCCACATTTTGAAAACGAGCCGCTCTGCATCCGTGAAGTTCTTGCAAACTTCAAGCTTCAGGACCATCTTGGTGAGGAATGATCAGGCGCAACGCCCGGGCCGCCGTAAAGATAGGTTTGGGGGTGTGTCAGGGACGAGTCATTTGCAATGAAGAGGGATTGAGGAGAAGCACGAAGAAAGGAAGGAGAAGGGTGCCGAACGAGTCCAGTACCGCATGCTTGATAGTCTGCTCGACCTCGACCTTACGCTTCGCGACCTCCTCCCGCTCAGCGTCCGAGATCTCGACCCCCTCAGCCTCAAGCCCGAAGTGGTCCCCGTCGTCGAAGATTTCGAAGTTGGCATTCTCATCCAGCAGCTCCTCCAAACTGAGGCCGTGCTTGGAAGCTTTCCCCCCTTCGGCCTGGGCTGTCGTTAGTACTTGGGCCGCCAGCTCCTGCACCTCCCGCCGTGGGAGACCTCGGGACAGCCGCTTGCAACTTATGAATGTATGACGTGCCAGGTAGAAACCAGGCTCTGGAGCTTGGGAATGCCATCCTGGCTATACTTTGTCCAAACCCCCGTCGCGCTGCCTCCGTGCGGGCCCAGGCGGCCAGACTCGTGAAGCTGAAGTCCAGGCATCCGCACTGCTTGTGGGCGTTGAGCATCTCGGAAGACTGGGCCAGGGGGCTTGACACGGAGCTGCCCCATCTCAGCAGCCAGCCATGCCCCAACCGAGGCCAACCCTCTCTCCCCTGCCCTTGCCCTTGGAGCCCTTGAGCCCCTGCTTGCCGTCCTTGCCTCCTGGCTGAGACTCTGCGTGTGCGGGCAGCGATCCGAGCGCAGGCAGGTCCGCCCGGCGCCCTCTTGCTGGAGGCTGCTGCTTCGGCTCCACGAAAGCGAGGGGCAGTAGGCAGTACTTGCAGAACCAGTAGTGGGGAAGGTTCTTCTTGCAGCCGCAATGGGTGCGTGGTACTTTGCTGGATGCGTCGGCACCTCCTCCCACGTGGTGCGACTGCCTCGGGTCACCTTTCTCATCCCGCATGCTAGGCTGGCCACGACAAGAGGCACCCATGGCTGCGTCGCATTTAGAGGGAAGGAAAGCGGCCTGCAACTGCGAAACAGAAGTAAGTAGGAGTTGGTCGTGTCGCCACCGTGAAGACTGTGGGGGGCCGCTTGTCCCCTGCACGCAAAAAAAAACTCAAGTCTCCGCGCCAACGCTACGGACTTTTTGTCAAACTAGCTACAGAGGAGGAGGAGGAGGAGGAATAATAATAATAATAACAATATAAATAATAATAATAATGAGAAGAAGAGGAGGAGGAGGAGGAGGAGGAGGAAGAAGAAGACGAATAATAAGAATGATAATAATAAGAATACTAATATTAAGAATAAGAATAAGAAGAATAATAAGAAGAGGAGGAGGAGGTGGAGGAGGGAGGATAAGGGAGAAGGAGGAGGAGGAGGAGGAGGAGGGAGGAGGGAGGAGGGAGGAGGGCGCAGGAGTGGTTGGAGGCCTGGGAGCGACGCCGCGTGGTGCCAGCGCGGCGGTGCACGTTGCCAGGATGCTACGCGGGAGGT